AGGCCTTAGTAAGGTCTCATTCAATTTAAGATGGTAAAATAAGAAAGCTGAAAGAAAAAAAATAAGATGGTAAAATAAGAAAGCCCAGGGAATTTGAAATTCAACCCTCTGTATCTTGGGAATGACACAAGGAGAAAGGAAAAGATGTTGGCATTTTATATATGCTTTTAACACTCACCTGAATATTACAAACTTCCTAACTCACAGGGTGAACACTAGTTAGGACAGTTTTAGGATTCTCAAATACCTTTCAAATCTTAGGTAATGAAAAAAGGTAACTGATGGACTGTCTTTTCACCCCATGTCATAATTGAATCTTAAATAATCATACAGATCTACCATGCTATTAAGGTTAGACTTTTCCACAGGATCCATCACGGGTAACTTCCTCACAAGAAATGCACCACAAGTAACTTCACAGACTCAATCTTCATAAAGACCGCATTGTCCAAAATGGTCAAAACAAACACAGTGAAAACCTAACCTTGATTTCTATTTAAACCCCTATAATAAAGGGGTTATATATAGAGTAATATGCTCAGAAACGCTTGCTGTTAGTATGAGTTCAACCACTTTTACAACTTCATGCTTTTTACTTTAAAGCCAGACATCACTAATATACTTGTACAAACATGGTTGTACACTCTAGGCCTGGGACCATTGCCCTTTAAAAACACTACATTTCCTCGACTAGTTCCTGCAGGAAATCAAAGTGTCTTAGAAATATCCTCACTTCTCTAACAATGCACATTTCTTGAAACATCTGTTTTTCTCAGCTCCATGTGAAAAGTAGTCTGACAGAGAATTTCCCACGCACACCAGAGATTAGCATTGTAAGATGGCTTTCAGACCTGGTCTTGTAGTTGCTAAATTTCACACACATCCACAGGTCAATAAGGAAGCCACCTTGGCTGTTGTAGGTCACAACCTAGTTTCCCTGTCTGCGTCACTTGTACAGATGTATTTACACAGGTCACATACCATGCATCACTTGCTGAAAAAAAGAGCCAGCCAAGCTGGCAGCTGAACCATGGAGAACCATTTTCCTGAAAATCAAGCAACCTCTAAAATCTGATGTTAATATGTTAAGGACATCACATTCCTTTGTAGGTCAGCTCATGAAGCGTGCCTATCAAGTCCTCCAGAGGTGTTACAGAGCTATACAATAACGCAACTCCTCCACTGTTTCAGGAAGGCCTGTGTAAAAGAAAAGCCCATGCTACACTATCCCAAGGTCAGTGAACTCAGGTTGCATCAGAAAGGGGGAAATTTTTACAAACAGTGATGTCTGTCTCCCCAAAGAAAACACTCTATTCATCACCCCCAAATGTACAAATATCCATCCTACCCTACTGGACAACATAGACATATGTATCCCACAGGATTCCCCACAGGCCTCTACTTCTCCCAGAGCAGCTACAACATAAATTAAGAGATCCCATAGTTTAAGACAGAGCAAACTGCATTTGTTAAGTGAAGGCTTAATTAAACATCAATGTCTCTCAGCTTGGGGTAAAAAAACCCACAAGCCCTCAAAATTCACACTGACAGCTCTGAGAGCAGCAGGTTGAAAAACTGAAAATAAAATCACATGCATTTTAGAATAAGCAAATCTAATTTATTCCTGCCCACAAATGCCCTGACAGAGTGGGAGGAAGTGCTCCTCCAGCTGTTTTCCACGTGTTTCCTCAAGAGACAGACCTCAAAGGACTTCTGGTGGATGTTCTGAGTCAAGTCGCTGGTCACGTTTCCTCTCCAGCCAGTGGCACTTTTTATGAATTGTTAACCGTTTACAGTACAATTGTCAAAGAAGCAGTTAGTGACTCACTGCATTCCTGCAGTAGTTGATTTACTACAGCAAGAGGTTACGAACCTCAGTTAAATCTGAGGAAATAACTGAAAGTCTCTTCCCTCCTTAGTCACCTTTGCAAGCTGTGGAGGGGCTCTGTGCTTTCCCACAAAAACCCAGGACACAGCCAACCTCTGCACAGATGTTGTGAATGCTGCTCCCTCTACAGTGCTGAGAAGACCTGTGTCAAATTCTTCAGAATAAAAGAACCTGAGGCTCGATAGGTAAAGGATCCCTGGCTTCATGCTACTTATAATCTCTCATACCAAGTTATATATGTGCTTTGAATACTCATCTAGATTATTCTACTTCCAGTAATCACTTTGCTGCTTTAAGACCACACACATTCATAAAAACTTCAATTACTTTTTAAGGAGGAAGCCAAGAGCTTCAATCAGCATTCTCAACGACTCTAGAAGTACAAAACGTTACATGCCAGAACATAAAGAAAGTAAGTTCTTAAATAATGACTATCATGGAAAACAACAAGATCTGCTAAAGGGAATCACATCTGATGGATTTGCCAAAGCATGCACTAAGAAGCTTTAGCTCAATAGACTTGGACTTCTCAAGTCCAAATATTTTGATGGCCAACAGTGCATTCAGTGAATCTGCCCAAATGACACTAGCAGAGAATCTGATCCAATATCACAAGGAACTTGGAATAGGTCCACCAGTTCAGCAGCAAACATTTCCATAGGCCCTCTGCCATCCTCTGCACTGCCCAGCCTTCATATCCTGGTTCCTTTTGGAGAAGAGCTAATGCCTCTCATTGGTAAGACTAGCTGACATGAACTGTCACGGCTCCAAAGCGGAAGGCTTGCACCACGTGCCTCACTCTAACAAAGCAATACAAATGGCACAACTTGGATAACTTGCTTGACAGCTCCTGGAAAAAGTACTTTTCACTTTGCCTTTGTTGATTCATGAGCTCACACATCTCTCCAGAAAGGGATGAGCAAAAGTCTAGCGAGTAGTCTACTTCACAGCACTTTCTATGCCTACAGATGCATAGAATAACTTACCAGATGACTTCTAAGAAAGACAAATACCAGGCAACCACATTCACGGTGGAATAAATCTCTTTATTCTGTGTCTATTTCTGAGCTAGCAGAGTAAGTCTTGCTCGGAATCTGCATTTTAAGCAAATGCCTGCTAACATAACTTTAACTGGACCTCTCAGGATTTTGAGATATATTTATTATGATTTTTAAGAAGTATCCTGGTGAGCATTTTGGGAAAAGAACTAATAGGCATACCAAACCTGAGGCAAGCCAGAAATGTCTGAAGCCAGCTACAAGCCTATCGTGATGATAAACAGCTCAGGGTCCAGCTGTCCATATATGGCAAGACTTCCTATAAGACTGACAGTACTGTATGTGCATTGCGTATGGTTGTTGGATCAGATTCACATTCCTTGGGAATGTTTCTCTGGGAGTTTTTGATTTCCGCTTTGAGGGCTGGCTCAGACCCCCAATTGCTCTTATAAAAAAATATCTGACTGAAAGTTGAAAATGTGCAAGATTCTTTCTTTAAGTACACAAACACTCCAAGTCTAGCCACTTTCCTGTAGTCTTGCCAGATTTTCGGTATGTCTGATACCTGATCAAGTGGCTTTTTGGGGGGAAGGAGGAAAAAAAAAACCAGAAGGAAAAACACAAGAGAGGAATGCAGCCTATCCACACCTGTACGTTTTACAAGACTTCACCAAAGGAGCTATACCAACTGAAGCTGGTGTAGACACACGCATACCGTATATAGCTGTGTAAACAAGTCTGCAAGGCCAATGCAGTGAATTCCTAGTTTCAGCAGAAAAAATATACTATCATAAAAGCATGTGCTGTATAAACACCTGTATGGAAGTCAAAAACAGTGCTTTTAACCATTTCATTTGTCAATGTCATACGTCTCCAACCCAGTACATTGTCATCAGAAAGGATAAGCTGAAGACCGATGAGACTCTGAAAGAACCATCTTTGCTTCCAGGTTCCCTTTGCCCCTGTGCGTACACACACACGCACATATGAGGTAGTCAATGAGTCACATCCAACAGCACAGAAGCCAGAATGACAAAATGTAAACCTGATGGACTTTGATTCTTACCCACTGTCATGGGCTGGTACACCTTGCAATTCAGTGGGCTAATGCCCAATACACAGCGCTGCAAGACCAGAATCAGTTCTGAAGTCCAAATGCCTATTTAAGTCCTTTTTCCCAAGGCAGCAAGCTGATGGGTCTTGCTGTGCTTGGCCTGCAATGGGAAGACTTAGGGCAGACTTATCCTTTAATTTTGTATTTCCTTGCTTTCTGGTGATTTGTTACTTTTAAATATACTTTTTCTGTCAGTAAGATTCTTGTTTTGTTTAATAAAATTGTTTCTCTGAAAAAATACTCATACATGGAAAGTTATAAAACATGTCTACAGCTTCTCCCTCTCTGATGCTCTCCTACCATATTTAGGCATTTAAAAAAGGCATTCTGTTTACCTGGTTACATTTGCATTTTGGTATGCGTGTCATACACAGCTTGGTACACATATTATTTACCCAGCACTGAAGCCATTAGAGTCTTTCAAGTACAGATTTTGGGAGCCCTCAAGGTTTGGGAACATACATTATTTACCATAACTGTTCCCCTCAGGTCTATTTTCTTCTTTCAGAGCCAATCTCATTTCTGTTAATGGAGAATTTAAGCAAGAAGAAATGACATTCAAATGACTTTACCAGACAAAGTACAGTGCTGGCAGAAAATAAATAGTAGTTCTACAGTACAATACAGCCTACCAGGGCTTTACATGAAATTGTTGCTTTTTCCCTCATACATATTGCTACATCATAATGTGGCAGTATGCCTGCATGTGCAGGGATGGAAAGAAGCGGGGTACAGCAGTGAGAGAAAGCCTGCATGAAAAGATACATCTTTTGAGATACCCATCAGACTTCAGTCTGCCTGATAAGATGAATTAAGCTGATCTCTCTCATTAAACACTAACATACTTCTACAGGTCAAAAGCCAAAACTCTGGCATTCCTTGCATTAAAGCTGAGGTCAAACAATATGACATCACTGAATACTCAAATGATACATTGGGAGGTGGGGGAAGAACCATCCTCCTGCTATAAATAAATAAATAAACAAACAGAAAGTCGTAACAGTTCTCTGCTGTGATTTAATACAAGACATAATGCTTAGGTCCTGTGTTCAAATACAACCTATAACGTTAAGGTTTTGGCTGAGTGCAGTAACATGCCAGTCCCCTCTTCTTGTAATCCTGGGTAGCACCATCAGCGAGGTTGGGAAGCAGGGATGTGCGAGGAGCGTGTTGCTCAGAAATGACAGCTGCACACAGGCAGTGGGAAAATAATAGCCACTTCTTCCATGCTTCAGACTCCATCCGCTGTGCCAAATATTTCAGAGTAAATAGGCACTCTCTCTATTCATAGAGAGCATCTATTAGGGAAGGAACACATTACAAATATCCAGTATGATTCAGTGGTACACAGAGTCAATTTATACCCGGTAGCGTAATTATACCTTTTTTTGGTGGTACCAAAGCACCGGGACCATTCACTGCTGGATACCAGGCACCCCGAGGTGAGGGCCCTGGCAGGGCCACCCCAAAAACACCGCCCTCCTGTCCCCTCTGCCGGGGGAGGGACGAGAGGCGAGAGGGGAGAACCGAGGAAGAGAAATAACGGATTCCCCCCGGACGCCCCTGGCAACCGCCCCGCCGCCCCCCTCGCCCCTTCCCGCTGCCCGTCTAGGAATAACGCGCTGCCGGGGGGGAGGATGGAACGGGGGGACCCAGAGCCGCTGGTTCCGGAGAGGAGCTACACTTAAAAAACATCAGGATGAAAAATAAAAAGACGAGAAAGGGGTGTGCGTTGGAGGGGGGGCACAGACGGAGGAATGCGGGAGTCAGGGGTCAGGGCCGCTCCGGGGCGGCGGTGGCGGCGTGGGGCGGGGCGGGCGGCGCGGCGCGGCGCGCAGGAATGCGCGGAATGTCGCTGTTTGTCCGCGGCCCCATTCAGCCCATTGGCGAGGCTGTGCCGACGACGTGTATAAAGGGGCGTCCTTGCCGGCACTGCGCAGCACTCACACAGCCGCTCTCCCACAGGACTCACAAGGAGCGGAGCAGAGCAGCGAAGCAGCGAGCAGCAGCCTGCACAGTGCCCACCGCGACAGGCCCGTCCGCGCACCGCTGCTGAGAAGAGCCGCCCGACGGGAAGCGCTCATCGCCTCGCCTCACCTCGATTCGGCTCATCTCACCTCACCGCCCCTCTCTGCCGGGCAACCCGACTCCGCTGCCCGCTTGCCGCCGCCGCTCTCAAGCCGCTGACCGCCGCGGGATGGCCCCCGCCAGCTTCGCCGTAGCCCTTCTCCTCTCCCTCCTCAGCCCGGTAAGTGCCGCGGCCCGCGGCGCCGGCACCCCAGTTCCGGCCGGCTTGGTCCCGGCAGCGGTCCTGATGCCCCGCTTTCTCTTTCTCTCCTTCCCCGCCGCTGTCAGGAGGCGCAGAGCCAGGAGTGCAGCGGGCAGTGCCAGTGCGGCACGGGGCCCGGCCCCACCTGCCCCGCCGGCGTCTCCCTTGTGCTCGACGGCTGCGGCTGCTGCCGCGTCTGCGCCAAGCAGCTGGGTGAGCTCTGCACCGAGCGCGACCCCTGCGACCACCACAAGGGGCTCTTCTGCGACTTCGGCTCACCCGCCAACCGCAGGATCGGCGTCTGCACCGGTGAGTGAGCGGGGACGGGGCCAGCCGCGGGACAGAAGCAGCGCCCCGCCGGGCTGGGGTCTAGCAAAGGGGGAAGCCGGGGAAACTTCTTCGCCTCACCCTCCGCTTCCTGCCCCTCGCAGCTCGGGACGGTGCCCCCTGCGTCTTCGGCGGTATGGTGTACCGGAGCGGGGAGTCCTTCCAGAGCAGCTGCAAGTACCAGTGCACCTGCTTGGACGGGGCGGTGGGCTGCGTGCCCCTCTGCAGCATGGACGTCCGCCTGCCCAGCCCCGACTGCCCCTACCCGCGCCGGGTGAAGCTCCCTGGAAAGTGCTGCGAAGAGTGGGTCTGCGACGAGACCAAAGAGCAGACTGCTGTGGGACCTGCACTTGCTGGTGAGTGGGGGTCCCTCAGTGGGTGGCAGCTGAAGACAGTGGGATGGGTTGACACAGGGTACCCTAGCAGCTGGACTGCTGCAGTAAGTGTGGATGCTCAAATTTCCCAGGAAGAGGAAGAGAGCCTTTAGCAGGGCATGATGTCAGATGATGGTCTCATTTTGGCTGTCTTGACTCCTGCAGCTTACAGACTGGAAGACACTTACGGTCCAGATCCAACAATGATGCGTGCCAACTGTCTGGTGCAGACCACGGAGTGGAGTGCTTGCTCCAAGACCTGCGGTATGGGCATCTCAACCAGGGTCACCAATGATAATGCCTTCTGCAGACTGGAGAAACAGAGTAGACTCTGCATGGTCAGACCTTGCGAAGCAGACTTGGAGGAGAACATCAAGGTAAATAATCTAATCTTTTATGTATAACCTACAGGGATGCTTCCATCCACTGACTAAAAAACAGTGTCTTACCAAAAACTGTGTAGTTTTGACGGAGCATTAGTTTCAAGTAGTTTATCTTTAAATTTGAATTGTATCCCAGTGATGAATAGTTTACTACTAAATGTCCTGAATTTTCCTTTCGTGCTGTGTTATGGTACTAAGACACTTGCCTAGTGAAGATACAAGGATTAGCATGCCTGCTGCCCTTAGCTTGCAAGCTTAGTGCTGCATGAAAGCCTACCTTCTAAGCACTTTGTATTCACTTATACCCTAACAGAAAGGCAAAAAGTGCATTCGCACCCCCAAAATCTCCAAGCCTGTCAAGTTTGAGCTGTCCGGCTGCACCAGCGTGAAGACCTACAGAGCTAAGTTCTGTGGTGTATGCACTGACGGGCGCTGCTGCACACCCCACAGAACCACCACCCTCCCCGTGGAGTTCAAGTGCCCTGATGGGGAGATCATGAAAAGGAAAATGATGTTCATCAAGACCTGCGCGTGCCACTACAACTGCCCCGGAGACAATGACATCTTTGAGTCTCTGTACTACAGGAAGATGTACGGAGACATGGCATAAAGCCAGAAGGAGACGTTAACTAAATTCCCGACTTGAACTGATCTGCATCTCAATTTGTAAACATGATTCAATAGCACAAGGTATTTAAATCAGTTCTTTTTTTTTTTTTTTATTTCAACAAACTGTTCCATGTGACTTAAGACAATTTTTCTACTGACCCCAAATGGCGGTTTGAAGAAGAAGGTAAAACAGATGGACGGTGGGACCACAGCAAGACACAGCTTCAGAACACAATGTTCATGAGGTGATGTGAAGGGTGTAAGGGAAATAGGCAGGAAAAGCAGATTCAAGCAAATGTTCCCTTAATGTGGTACAGCGTGCTTCATGTAGTAGTGCAATTCAGAAGGAGACTGTTAGCATGTTTGCTGATGTTGGCTTAGTAACAGCAACAGCTGGAAGGCAAACTTTCACCCAGCAAAGTGCTAAGTAGAAGGTGTTCTGTTAGGACAGTAATGTTTCAGCTCTGACGCTCTGATTCATATGGCTTGGTCAACAAGAATCAGAATCATGTCTGTTAGACTGGACAGCTTGTGGCAGTTAATTTACCTGTAACAAGCTACTTTTTATTAATATTGTAAATACTGTGTGTATATATATATTTGTACAGTTATCTAAGTTAATTTAAAGTTTTGTGCCTTTGTTTAATGCTTTGAAATTTCAATGATAGCCTTCTTTTTTGGAACAAGATAGATAGGATTTAAAGCTTGTTTGACAATGCATTCAAAGCATGAAATACATACTCTAGTGGAAATTGTTCAGATAGGGCCAAATGGCGAGTTGAGAACAAGATGGAGATTAATGTTAGAGTTGAGGTGCCCGCATCCTTACAAAGCAATCATCTGGCAAAATACATTTACTTCTACTTTATTGGACAAGTGGCTTTAAGAAAAAAGGCTCTTCTGTAGCTCATCAGTCTTTCCACTCGAGCATTTGTTTCTTTCTTTGACAATGGCTCTTTTTGGACAGTTTATTTGTTGAGAAGTGTGACCAAAAGTTACATGTTTGCACCTTTTTAGTTGAAAATAAAGTATTTATATTTTTTATATAAATGGCTTGGTATTTCATTTACCTTTAGTCTTCACTGCTATTTTACATATTCCTAAAATGGTTTGGCTTTGCACTAGGTGAAAATCAAGTAATGCATTGTGAGGGTTTTTGTCAAGAAGCACATACACTTGCCACTAAGCTAATGATTTATGGTTGCTTATTTTGTTAGTAGTGAACCAACTGTAGTTTGCTACTCTTCTGAATGGAGGGCAGGGCCAGGCTTGCTTTGGCAAGCCCAGTGTTGCATTAGAAAGTGCAGCAGGTTCCAAATGCATCACTTGTGCTGGCTCTAAAATGAATCAGCTGGTCACCATAGCATTCAGCTCCTGCTGTAACACACCATGCAACGAGCTTAATTTCATTGACATGTTCCACTGGTTAAAATTTGTTTCCAACTAAGGCGAGAAAAACATTTTTAAAGCATCTGCAGTGAAGTGGCTCCTCACTCTAAAGTCAAATTCAGAAGCCCAAAATCTGGTAAAATTCTCAGTGAAGAGCTAATGACTTGTATCATAAAAATCACAGAATGATACAGGTTGGAAATGGCCTCTTAAGATCTCGTGATTCAACGTTCATGCAGAGTAGGGCTAACTTAGATATGGTTTTCCTTGAATCAAAACCTTAGTATAGTATGGTGGACAGAGCACTGAACTCAGATAGCAAATACCTTCCTACTTGGTCACTAGGAGCAAATCATTTTACACGACAGTTCTGTGTAAAGCATCCATTGATTCAAACTCTTCCAGGCCCACAGATGAGAAGTACTGTAAAAGCTACACATTTTGATAACAGTCCAAACATTCCTCTCAGATAACCAAAAAACAGGACAGTTCTGATTCACTTACCTCATCCCCCTAAAGCTAAAAGGAAAGCTTCAGTCCTGTGCTAGGTCCTACATTAAGAACAGACTTTTTTTTTTTTGGTCCCTTTATCAAGACAAGGGAATTCTTTGAATTTAAAATTAACCTTTGCACTAGAAGCATTAGTTCTTGTTTTCAGAAAAAAACCCAAGAACTCTCCAACAAGAATCCTTTTCAGCCAAACAAGTTCAATCTGGAATTTCCTGGTGGTGAAAGAGTGTTAGCTTACAAAAATGTCCATCCTTCCTGAGTACCTTCCAATCCCATTGATTTCAGCTAGCATTAGCAGCAAATCAGCATAACACCAGCTTTGACTAATGATGGACAACAGAGCCCTAAACTAATGGGAAGTCAATGGGAGCCTTGCCAGTGGCCTCACCAGGCTTTTCACAAGGCCATAGAAGTATTTCCCCTTCTTCTAAATAATATGAGGAATTTTCCTGGCATAAGGAAGTGGCTTTCTGTGTTCCATATTAAATAATAGTTTTGGGCAGCCTTTGGCTCTTACAGTCCCTGAGCCTCTCCAGCATTTTGCTCTATTTTGTTTTCTTTTGTTTGGGTTTTCTTTCAGGTTATGAATACGATGTGGCCATGCAGTTCACCCTGGAAATACTTCAAACACTCCTACAACCCCAAGGACTGATTTTCCAACCACTGCTGTGGCTCCACCCCCAAATAACAAGAGCACTGTCATTTCTAGTTCCAGCAAGGACAGGACATGGACTCCAGTCATAGCCATCACTGTAGAGGCTATCAGGAACAGAACAGAAGGTAGCATAATATGCCTGGCAGGTTGGGATTAATGCCTTTAAGAGATGCAGTGTTTATGATGCTGCCCAAGCCCATTTATTAACAGAACTGCTCTGCATTCTTTTACAAATTTATATCAGACATTATAATGAATGACCATTCCTTATCCTTATAACATCAACGTCTTG